GTGTCAGGTGTGACATTACAGGATGTGTTAGGTGTGACATTACAGGATGTGCTAGTAGACTTATGAAGATTCTTTTGTCTATAGCTATTTATGTTAGTTTGATCTTACCATCCAATATTTCATCTGCTTGCAGTCAGATTTCATCAGGGAATGAGGTTGTGACAGGTATGACAACCTGTCATCCCCTCTGCTGTGGCTCTCTTTCCAAGATTTTTATGTCTTCTATGGTTGTTGATGTTATACAATGCCCTGTCTGTTCCTGGTGTTGGCTGAGGGCTGATGAAATCTGACTGCAAGCAGATGAAATATTGGATGGTAAGATCAAACTAATATAAATAGCTATAGACAAAAGAATCTTCACAAGTCTATTATAATAACATAGCTAATGAAACTGTTCTACACTAGGATGTGCTAGGTTTTACATTACAGGGTATGTCAGGTGTGACATTACAGGATGTGTTAGGTGTGACATTACAGGATGTGTTAGGTGTGACATTACAGGATGTGTTAGGTGTGACATTACAGGATGTGTTAGGTGTGACATTACAGGATGTGTTAGGTGTGACGGTGTTGTTGTTGTATGTGTTGGTGTGTTGTTGGGTATGGTAGAGTATTAGATATTAAATAACAACATTTCAGAGGATAGACCAGCAGCTGAGGGAACACAGCTTATCACCAGATGAATTGTGAAATTATAAGATGTGACAGTGTTATAGTGTGTTAGGTGTGACATTGTTGCTGTATATGGTAGGGAGTTCTTAGTCTCTCAAACTGTTATGATACAGAGAACTGTTCTGCTCCATGTGAAAGGGGTCATAGAAAGTGACAGGGTAAAGATGATTAATTTGGGTAATATGAGGTTTGTTTTGTTAAGTGACAGAGAACAGAAAGTGATCAGGTCTGGGCATATGTATATAATTACCACTGACTGTTTCATTTGCTGTCAAACATCCTGGTGTTAGATTTCATTTCTGTAATCTGATCAATATAAAACTGGTCACTATTTTGCAGGCTGGGAGGCTCGCGTAGACAGTCATGGCAGAATATTCTACATCGATCACAACACACGCACAACCACGTGGCAACGCCCCTCTCCCGCCGCAGCCACCAATGTACCACCTCCTGTTCAGAGACTGAACTCCATTAGTGATGAGCAGAGAGAGCAGCTGGATAGAAGGTAAACAAGGGGTTATTTTTACAAAGTAACTTGAACCTTAAAGTTTGTATATTAATGCTATTTTATTTTATATAGTTTTGAAAATCAAGGAATTTAGTAGAGGTATAGGGAGTAGTGGATGTTGTCCTCCTTAATTTACACTATTTGTTCCCATTCGGGAGTATGTTTCATCTTTACAAAAACTCAGACTTGATTTGGATCATTTAACAATAATTGAGACTAAAAGAGAGAGAGAGAATGAACAGCTGTATTTCTGCACTCTAGGTACCAGAGCGTACGTCGTACCATGTCCCAGGTAGACAATGACGAGGCCATGGCTGCCTCAGCCTCTCCTACAGTTGTACCAGTATCGGGAATTACAAGAACAGTTCCACCAGCAACATCAACGACTCCTACAGTAGGAGTGGCAACAACCTCAACGACAACAGCAGGATCAACAGGTGAGAAGGACTCCCATAGTGATGGTATCTTTCCCTCTTCCGTTTGGTATAGCTGCTATTTTATAGAACATCTACTGTTTTATGCATGAAAGAGAAAAATTTGGCAGTTTTTCATTTGGTACATCTACTATCTTATAGTTGAAAGTTAGAGAAAAATTGGGCAGTTCAGTAAAAAAATAATAAATCTGGATTTATGTTGGAATATTTTTTTTAAATATCAGAATTTACGTTTGGTTTTGTCAATTTAGAGTGAGTTTCAGTTAATGATGTAGGAGGTCTTGGTTTTTTCTTTCTTGATTAGCATTGTTTTACCTAACATCACTGGTTCCCTTCCTGTTCTTAGCCTCCAGTAGTACAGCCTCCTTGCAGTCCAACCAGACTGGGCAACAGCAGCCTGTGCGACCACATGTTCGCACATTGGGACGCGCGCTGATGTACATGCCAGCTGTGAAGTTCTTAACAAGAACAGATTTCTTTACAATCCTCCAAGCTAATGAGGTGAGGGTGGTGAGAAAAAGAAGAAGAATGTCTCAGCATGTGTCAACTGCAGATTGATGCACATTAAAAAAAGGGGGTACCATATTTTACATCTTCTGTAACCATATTAGAATCACAATTTGTTGAGCACTTATGCCATGTGGTATGCTTTATTTTAGGCAGCTATAGCAGAATACAATAGGAACGGTACACTGAAACATATGGTCACCAGGATTAGGAGAGATCCACATAACTTTGAGAAGTAAGTCACTTTAGTAGTTCATTTGACTTTTTGTCCTACAACAAGAAATCTCTAAAGACAATAAATGTTTCAGACAAAGGTGGACTGTGGATTAATCTGAGACTGAAATAGAGTCAAAGTATTTGTCTAAAGTTTAAGACCAACTTTTTGTCCAAAGTTCTCTGGTAAAACAGTTTCTGGTTCTTATCTAAATAGAAGCCATGCCTTTTGCTATCCTTGGTGAAAGTGAAATCAATACTTATTTTATCCCTACATAGGTATCAACACAACAGGGATTTAGTGGCAATGCTGAATATGTTTGCTTGTCCTAGTCTAGAGCTGCCAAGGGGATGGGAGCAGAAGTTTGATAAGACAGGAAAGGTAAGTCATCTGTCTGGGAGGGGGAGGGTATATGCATTTTAGGGGGTGGAGGGGGTATAGAGGTTTGTCACTGACAGATTAGTGTCAAAAGCTGATTCAATATAAGCAAAATGTTCCCATATTGGGTTTAAGTTGATTTTAGTGATTATTCTTTAATATTTGAATTCTCTGTTTAATTCATCATACAGAATGAATGGAATGAGTCCAAAAGTGAAAGATCATACAGAAGATGGGGGTAAGTCTCCTGAAACATTTAGCATTGTATCATGAGAGGTACCAGACAAGTCTTATTATTTTTCCAGGCATTCTTCATCGATCACACATCCAAGACAACGACATTCATCGACCCGAGGCTCCCCCTGGAGGCAGATTTGATGCCCGCAGATCATCTGAGAGGAGCACTTGGGAGGAATAGGGAGGTCACCAGTGCTGTGAGTTCAACACCATCTCTCTCTCTTTCTCTCTCCTTCTCTCTCTCTCTCTCTCTCTCTCTCTCTCTCTCTCTCTCTCTCTCTCCATTGATTTTTACCAGAATTGTATTTTAATTATGCTCATCTAAATGGATTATGGACAAATACACAATTTAATTTCTATTTTTGTTTTCAAGATATGTTATTTATGTACCATTCACATAGGCAAGTCTATGTGCCTCCGAATTGTTTTGAATCATTATTTATGATATTTTTGTAGGAAATTATTCTAGGAAATGATATCAAAAATGTGGCAAATTTAGGGAAACAGCATAAAAATTCTGAATTGTTTGCTCTTTTGCAATTTTATCAGCACGTTAAAAAGATTCCTATTGCATTCAGCACAGTAAAGTAATAATGAGAGAAGACAATAGATGGCGCCCTTTGTCTGTATTTCAGCCACCTGTCCCCCCAAGGCCAGCCAGTACTGAGTCTCCCAATCCAAGAACCCAAGAAGTTCCCACAGGTAGTGGCATGTTTATACAACAGACAGTGTCTGAATGAATCTTTATACATTTATATATAAAGAGTGGTAAATTTTGTGATATATCTGAAGCAATTCCAGTTCATTTAAGCAAGGAGTTTAAGTCTGTACTTGAAATGGTGGTATAACTATCAGTTTGTCATGAAACCCTGTATCAAATTCTCTGGTATGGCCAGTGTATCTGTAGGTTTCAAGATATAAATACATACCGAATGCCTGATAAATGTTTAAATTCAAACTTGAAATTGCTGACAGTACTAAACTCCTTCAAACACTCTTTAAATCTCCTTGCCCAGGAATAACATTTACAGAAAGATACTTCATAGAAGATTTGCCATTTCCCAATGACAGATGTTGTGTTGTCTTTCCTCCAGCTTACAATGAGAAGGTGGTGGCTTTCCTCAGGCAGCAGAACATCAGTGAGATCCTACAGGAGAGATACTCCAGTTTTGACCAGAACACGCGGCTCAAGAACAAGGTGGCCCAGATCCGAGCAGACGGCATTGAGACTCTGGATAGACTGTCCAATGACATGGAACTCATTCTGCTACTCAGGTGAGATAGGTGTTCACCAGGTGAGAGACAGGTGTTTAGGTGAGAGAAATGCATCTCAGGTGAGATGAGCTGCAGCTGGGATAGATAAGTACATCTTGGGTGAGACAGGTCTTCCTTAGCTGTATTTCAGGTAAAATTGGTGTTTTCTGTGAGATAGGTGCATCAAAGGTGAAACATGGGTTTCTTATGCAGTTTAGGAATGCCTTAGGTGCATAAGTGTAATCACCATTGAAATGAACAGTTAAATGAACATTAGGGATGGATTTTACACATTTGATAGGTATTGTTATCTTATATATGTTTTAACTTTCATCATTGTAATTGTTCTTATTATTATCATTAATAAGTACTACACAGTTGAGACTTGCACTACTTTGTTAACAAGTTAAATGATCCCATTTTAAGTCTCACTTTTAGATATGTGTATCACACAGGTATTACAAACTTCCCTATTTGCTATTATTGATACTAAAATCAATATTTCTGATTTTCAGCCTGTTTGAGCAGGAGATAGAGTCATTTGTCCCACCCAGTGTTGCCTTCACGTCGTCCGCGGGACGATCACCTCGGGGCTCCCCAGGGGGCTCTCCACAAGCCTCACCAGGTAATAAAGGAGTTTGTAGTTAATAAGGGGCTCTTAAGGGGCACTTAAATCAGTGGTTAACTTATTATGTTAGCTTAAGAATTATAGAGCATCTTGCTAGAAAGAGAAATGGTCTGTTCCCTAAAGTTCCAGGTTAGCCATTAACGTAGCATGTAGTGTGAATTGTGTAATTCCTTTCCATTAATTTAAATAATTAGTTGCACTTTCCAATACCAAATGGCTTTAAAGAGGGGGTGGGGGAGGGCTAGTGAACTTTTCTAAATATATTTAGGTTCCTTTAAAGCCTGTATATTCTGATTTTAACCCTGCCTGGTGTCCCAAAACAAAGGGCCAGTAGGTTTGAAAGTTTTTGGCACCTTCTGTATTGCTGTGGAGATATAATTATTTGATTTTTGTATGTTTTTCCATGATCTCAGCTGCACAAAGGTCCAATGTTAGGGTTCCAGCACCATACAAAAGAGATTTTCATGCAAAACTGAGGGCATTCTATCGCAAATTGGAGTCCAAAGGAGTAGGCATGGGACCGGGCAAGATTAAGTAAGTAGAGTTATGGAGGCATGAGCACCATATTTTATTCTAAGTTATGTGAACTTTTAACATCAAATAAAATGATGAATGTTGAAAACAATTATTCTATCATAAAGGGGGTCATTCTGGAAAAAAGTGAGTTTTGAGTGCCATTTTGTGTAACATCTGCATAATTTGGTCTTGCCTCATAATTTTTTCTGTCATATACTTTCGAACCCTCAAATGTGGAAAGAAAACAATTGAATAATAATTTGAAATCAAAAATGTTTTGTGTACCAGTATATTATACAAAATGTACACATCACTGACTAAGTATTCTTGCTATAATCATATAGCAAATTACCTGTGTATTTCTCAGAAAACATTAGTAATAACAGTTTTTTTTTTATTTTTAAATTGCATTGACTGGAGATATAATTTCTTCTTCTACTTTTAAACATTTAGTTGTTGTATTTTCCCTCTGTCTCTCCCCAGGATGACAGTACGCCGAGACCATGTGCTGGAGGACTCCTTTAATAAGATCATGTCCATCCCTAAGAAAGATTTAAGGACTAACAAGCTGTATATAGCATTCCATGGGGAAGAAGGGTAAGGAGGGACACTTAGAATAGTTTATTTATTTATTTATTTATTTATTTATTTATTTATTTATTTTTGCAAGATGACATGTATGTGAAAGGCATATTATCTCCATCATGATGTTTAAGATGTGCGTAACGACGTGTCTATGAAATTATTTGGAAAGCACTTTTGGAAAAAGACGATATTAGGGGTATTTTGTGTCAGTCTCAGTTGTTGTTTTGTAAATGATGTAAGGAGTAATGTATCTGTGCCTGTTGAGAACTTAAGTGTTGACATCCAGAACTGCTTTTAATTACTATAGTCTGTTAGGGGTTGGTTATAGAATGCTGTTGTTCGTAGTTTGATAAGTAGTCAGTATACCAATTCTATTAATATTTTATTGGTATCTGTAACATATTTAGTCATTTCCCTGATTTATTTATTTATTTATTTATTTATTTATTTATTTATTTATTTATTTATTTATTTATTTTCTCTCACCAGGCTGGACTATGGAGGACCTTCTAGAGAGTTTTTCTTCCTTCTGTCCAGAGAGTTGTTTAACCCATACTACGGACTGTTTGAATACTCTGCCAATGATACCTATACAGTGCAAGTGAGCCCCATGTCAACATTTGTAGAGAACTATAAGAACTGGTAAGTGGTGCTATCTATATGACATTCAAGGAGTTATGTTCAACATAGCATTGCACATGCCAATTTACATGCTGCTGAGCTGGGCTGTGTTTTAGAAAATATATCTTTTACTAATGTTAATTGTGAGTATTCTAAGCATTGTAGTTACAAAATAGAAAAACAATAAAAATTGTCAGATTTGATTAATATTGAATTTTTTATGTCTAATATATTTTGTACAGTAAGAAAAAAGATCACTGAAGTCAGACGTCTTAATTGCTTATTTACCTAATAATATTTCCTAACAGTATTTATAGAGGATTAAATAGTGAAATTATTACGAGTCCTCGGTCATTTGTATTACAATAATATGAATTTCTCACTCAGGGTTAAGAAAATGTTGATAGTAACGGGGCTCATTGTTTCCCAGGTTCAGATTTGCTGGTCGCTGCCTAGCTCTGGCTGTGGTCCACCAGTACCTGATGGATGCTTTCTTCACACGGCCATTTTACAAGGCATTGTTAAAACTGTAAGTGCAATATTACCCCCACACAGACCTATGTAGTGTCTTCCTACATTGAATTTTGGAGCAAATGTATCTTCACCGAGTGCAATAGGAAGCAAAATGTGTTGTAGGTTATTTCTTTAAATTTATGAGGTAATTAGATATTTCTTCAAGGACTAAGGCTGTATTCCCAGAGCTTTTAGATCAATCTATCCCCGCGGGGAGTCTCACTAGATTACTGTCAGATAATCTGGCTTAAATGTCCGTCCCGCCTACTACAAGCTGTAAGGGGGTAATTAACTTTCGTGTCCGCTTGGCTGACAGCTATTTAGCATGAACTCCCAGGGAGTTAGGTCGATCTAAAGTAGATCGATCTAATCTCTGGAAATGGGGTCTTAAAGATGTTATGTGCTAGTAATTGTAAAACACAAGGTGAAATGTTTTTATACCATTACTAGTGGGCTGGATTTGATGTTAAAGTGCTATTTAAGATAACTAGTGATCTTACACGATCTTAATCATTACAGCAGTAGTATTAAAATGTACTGAATCTGCTTTTGAGTTCAAAAATGATCTAACATCTACTTAAGTGGTCAAGCAGTTTCCTCCCCTCACAATAGAGGACACCTCTGCTCACAATAGGAGAAAGTGTAAGGGGAGACAACTTAATTGGCTGTTAGACCAGAAATAGTCTTACTCATGGTTTAAGATCATGTAAGACAATCTGTGATCTTAAATTGCACTTTCAGACCATCATCTAGTTTACAGCCAACCTGATCCAACCACCAAGTTAAGGAACATTTTCACTCAGAACTTAAAGATTATTTATTTCTAAAGAGACAAGAAAATGATAAAGTATATTGTTTTACCCACTAGTTTAAATGTAAACTTATTATTCCACCTTCCAGTCCGCCATCCCTGAGTGACCTGGAGACATTGGATCCAGAGTTTCACCAAAGTCTGCTGTGGACCAAAGATAACGACATCACAGACCTCGGCCTTGACCTGACCTTCTCTGTAGACGAGGAGATGTTTGGACAGGTTTGTAAAAGTTTTTCTTTTTTTTTTTCAAACATTTACATATTTTGTGTTATTACACATATTTTTTAATGTTCGACCCATTTATGTCATAATCTGTTAATGTTTTACTTCAAATTTGCTGAGTGACTTTGTGTATAAATAAGGCAGGTTCTTTATGAAAGTAAGCATGATTATAGTACTTAAAAAAAATTTTTTTTTAAATATTGTTGTGCTTTTT